CAGAATCCCCTCACTGATTACACTGTAAATGATAATCTACCTTAACCAAAATCAAAGTAGACTATTACTCACCCACACCAGATGGAAAACTCTACAGACTGTCGGTTCATATATATCGTCAAATAGAACTGCCCGGTAAACCGTAGGCAGAGAGGGAGAAGAGGACAACAAACGAGGGGCTGTGACAAACTGTTTCGTCGGAGTTTCACCGACTCATCAAATATATATATATATATCGCTCTATTTAGACTGGAAGTTGGCCCAAATACAGCTATAATGACCGGGCGTTCTATTCGGGTGAAGACAGTAGATAGACATGTGACAGTATATATAGTCATATGGTATATATGGTATTTATGGTACATGGTATACATGGTATATATGGTATATATGGTATATATATGGTATATATGGTATATACAAAGAATACACGCTTTATCCAGGACATGCGAACTAGCTTCTTCCACCCTTAACCCCGGAGCGCAATGCATCCTGGTCGTGAATGTATACGAGGTATCTTTCCGGTCCCGTACAATCATAATGAGCCTGCGGCGCACGCTGGCCAGCCCACGCAAGCTACGGTAGCTTCTTCTTATAGACTTCGTCCCCGAAGGCTCGATACAATGCATCCTGCTCACGAATGTATACAACCTATCTTTCCGGTCCCATATAGTCCTAATGATGAGGGTGCGGTGTGTTTAGAGGACGGTGGCAGTCGTGAACGGTGATTCTGGACTCCTGATAGGTGTTGGTGCACCAGGGCAATTGATCAGAGGAAGGGTGGGTGCGGTCTTCTGAGGGGTCCATCCAGAGAACCAAATGCTTAATTACTAATTAATAATATTTTAGTAATTAAAGAGGGTGACTGTCATATGTCCAGTATCCAACCTCTACAACAACCTGGACTTGGAATAAAATAAAATAAATAAAGCCCATATTTTCCCAAAGCGTGGATATTTGTGTACTCAAATTCTCAGCCACTTGTTCCGTGTCAAAACTGAAAAGACAAAGCCCATATGGAGAGGGGGGGCTCAAGAGAAAAGAGAGGGATGCATGTCAGTTTTTTTGGGTGGGGGGGGGGGGGGGGGGGRGGTTTTGCTCACCACTGGAGCTTTTTTGCTGCGTCGTGGCCGAAAAATATATGCTCTGGACCGTTCCAAAGGGGTGCCCAGGACTCCGCAACGACCCCCTTTGAAACATTCTCCAATGCCCGCCACTCTGTCTCGCGCTCCGCTCTTTCTGCTTCACTCTCAATGCTTTCTTCTCCACTCCCTGTACTCTCTTCTCCACTCCCTGTACTCTCTTCTCCACTCTCCCCACTGTCCCCACTCTCCCCACTCTCTGCTACGCGTTCTTCCTCTTCAGTTGTCGTCCCATCTTCCTCCTCCTCCTCGCCCATGGATCCCGTATCCTCTGGCGTAGCACTGTCACTTCCTTCTTCTTCCTCCCCTCCAAGTTGGTCATGGTGGCTATGGTTCCTCTCCGCTCCGTTCTCCCCGCCCACATCCAAATACGTGTCGGCAATCGGCACCCGTTGGCAGCATCCGCCGACTTGTTCTCTGGCCATTCCATCGTTTTCAAACCCCCCCACTGTGTTCTTTTCATGAATGCACTGTCTGTCTTCCGCAGGTGACCCAGCTTTAGTCCCGGTACCAGTTGCAGTTCCGTCCGCAAGCCCGTTCCGGGTGCAATTCCTGGGCCCATGACGTATGCTTGTCCCACGCTGCGAAGAATCCAACGATTGAATAGCAGCATTTACATCTGCTTGACAGAGCCTATCTATTGACCTGGGTACGTCGTATCCAGTCCTACATGACGACGCCTGAGGAGTGGTAGGACGTTCACGTACACAAACATCGCCTGCCCCCTCGTCTGCACCCTTGTCCTCTCTGAGATGTTCTGCTTTACAAATGGGAACTCCCTTGCCACCGAGTGTCGATTCTTCCAGGCGTCGATTCTTGAGCAAGATCTTGTGCTTGCCTTTCTTCTCCTTCCTTTCGCTCCCATCAAGACGATCGTTTTGCAATGCCCCTCTACGCATAAGATACCGAACTTTATACAAGTCGCTAAGATCCTGCTCTTCCAGCGGCACACCCGGCACCATACCAGCATGAACCTGGACATAAACAAGCATCGTATACAAAAGCCCACAATGATTGTGAATCCTCAAGAATGCTCTCTCCAAACGGCATGTCATCCACATGGCCAGGTACGTAGCACCTTATCCACATCGTCAGGTGGCGCATGTTACTCACTAGACAGCAAAATTGGATCAATTCAGACCACAGAATAGGGAAATTATTAAACTTATTACTAAATAAACCATCATCATCATCATCATCATCACTGCTTACGGAATTTCAAACAAGTTGTGTGGCACGAGTTCCCCCCGCAGAGACGCGGAATTGTACTTACGCATGCACGACTGCTGATCTGCACACACACAACTTCAGCCTCTCTGCAGAACCCCTAAGCCTCTGTCAGATTGCCATGGTACTACCGACAATCCGACAGAGGAGTTGGGACATCAGAACCCCTAATCCTCTGTCGGATTGCCACACTACCGTAGCTTTTGATAACCTAACCCAGGAGTTAAGACAAAGGAGGGACCTCCTGGGATCCTTGCTATATTCTGTATGGGACATCATAGCTGTCAGGAAGACAGTACAGCTATAGTTGTAAGGAAGCCCATCCAGCTTTTTGCTGCTGTAAGGAGTTGGTCCTATCTCCTGGATCGTTGTTATATTCTGTATGGGACTTCGTAAGTCCCATGCAGAGCGCAGCCTGGATTGCTGCTACATTCTCTATATATTGGGGGGAACAACATAGGGGTCTAATAACACGATGGAGAAGGGGAAGGTCACACCACAGGATTGCAGCTGCATCCTGTGTGGGAAATTAGAACACCCTAAGATGACCCATGTGAGGCGGAAAAGCTGTGAGATGGCCATCATGTCGGATGATAGGATCAGACCTAGGACTGTGGACTCAGAGAGGGAGAGCCGTAGGACTGGAACAGCTGCTGCAAGCAACACTACTCAGACCCTGGTTGTTGATTCGGAAGAGCACAACGGGAGAGAGCACCATCCAGGCTAGAACTGTTTGATCACCACCTCACAGGAGTGGTGGTTCCCAACCTCCTCCCCGGTTTACCCCAATCCCAACGTATATTTACATGGAGCCAGCTTCATCCTCTGGAGAGATAACCCCTATTCCTCATGAATGGTAGACAACAGAAGAGGCGCTCCTGGCATGTATGTGTGTGTGTATTTGTGTGTGTGGAGAGAGAGAGAGAGAGAGAGAGAGAGAGAGAGAGAGAGAGAGAGAGAGAGAGAGAGAGAGAGAGAGAGAGAGAGGCGCTCCTGGCATGTATGTGTGTGT